TTACTATTCAAAAAATAGATCATCTCTCCCATAAACCCTAGACGCCGCTAAAAACAACTCTTAAGAAAAAATACAGCAACACAATCACATAATCAAAATAAAAATAACCTAATTACCCTTAAATAAACCATTTTATTTCCCTCTCAAATCTGAATTCAAATTAGCCATCTTTCCCTTAATAAAACATTCCTAATTCCCTCCCAAATTTGAATTCAAATCAGTCTTTTTTCCCTAAATAAAACCTTCCTAATTTCCTCCCAAATTTGAATTCAAATAAGTCTTCTTTCCCTAAATAAAACCTTCCTAATTCCCTCTCAAATCTGAATTCAAATCAACCATCTTTTCTAAAATCAACCATTTCTAATTTCCTCCTCAATCTAAATTCAAATCAGACATATTTCCCTAAATAAACTTTCCTAATTATTTCTCCCATAATTTATCCTTCATACATAGTGAATATTAACTCCCTTGGCCCCACAAGATAGGCCCCTCCAATGCATCAATACTTCAACAAAAAAAAAAAAAAACCTTATCCTCAAGGTGGAAGGATGATAATTCTCTCATGATGATCTCATATGGATCCCATGTGGCTTCGTACTCTGGTAGATCATTCCACTTGATTAGTACCTCATGTGCTCCTATTTCCCCTCGGGGCATAGGTACTGATAGAGATGTCAATTATGGCTCGTCCGTCTTCCTCAATAGAGAATTCGTGGCCTTGTTCTCCACTCCCGGGAGATACTGGATCTCACAATCATATATAAGTAACTTGGATAACCATACCTGATACTCCTTAGTCCCCATTATTTGTTTTAGCAAACACTTCAGGATCCTCTGGTATGTTCTGGCAATAAAGTGTTGTCCAAACCAATATGGTCGCCACTTCTGGATGGCTAAAACAATCGCCATCAACTCCCGCTCATATATGAACTTGAGCCTCACCCTGGTCGTGAGCACTTGGTAGAGGTAAGCAATTGACTGATGATCTTGCATGAGCACTGCCCTCAGTACGTATCCTTATGCATCTGCTTCAACCACAAATGGTCTGCTTAAGTTAGGAAGTGCTAATACGGGCTCCCTAGTCATGTCTCTCTCTAACTACTAGAAGACTCGTGTTACTGCTTCCTTCCAATTGAAACTTCCCTTCTTCAACTGCACCATCAGTGTCCATGCTATCGTGTCATACCCTCGCACAAACTTATGGTAATACCTTATGAGACTTAAGAACCCTCTCAACTGCTTCAGGTTCTGTAGCTCCACCAAATAGCCCAGCTCTGCTCCCTATATCGTTGTGACCATGATTTTGAGTGAAACCATAGCTCTGCACATGCTGGCATCTCCTCGCAGCACCACCCTCCTGCCCCCTCCACCTGAATCTCCATAGTCAAAGATTTTCAATCCCCATTCGTCTCCCAATCGTCTATAACCAGGCCATCCCCATAATCACATCAGTGCAACCTAAATTTAAGGGAAGAAAATCCTCAACTATATATATGCCCTGAAGTGTCAGCAACTACCTTATGCAAATCCCCCTACTCTTTTCCACCTTCCCCGTCCCCATCATGACTCCAAAGCTCCTCGTATCCCTCCAAACCCAACTGGTCCACGACCTGATATGAGATAAAGTTAAGTGTAGCTCCGCTATCCACCAATACCACCATTGGCCACTCCTTGGTCTATCCTCTCACATTCATGATGTGATTTGGAGTAAATCCCACCACTGAGTTAAGGGAAACTTCCACTCCATCAAAGTGTAGGTGCTCCCTCCTGCTTCCTCATCCAACTCGTTGTCGGTCTCCATCTTATCACAAACCATAAGGGCCAGAAGTGTGTGGTACTTGCACCGATGGCTGGATGCATACTTCTCATTGCATCAGTAGCACAAACCCTTCGCTCTTTAATCCTGCACCTCTGCCTCTGTGAGATGCCCGAAGTTGGCTCTGAGGCAATCTCCCTCACTCTTCTCCCTTGGTGCCTCTCACTGAATGACACCATCTAAGTCTTTAATGCCAGTGAAGGTGAGGAGTTCCTGTAGGAGCCTCTAGTAACTCCACTTGGTGGTCCTCTCCATCTGCCTCTGAACCTCTGCTATATGGGCTAGCTTCATGGACTCCTTCAATCCTCTCAGCCCTAACAATCGGAGGTTTGCTCGTATGTCGGGTTTGAGACATTTCATGAAAATTTTCTCCAACATCGCATTTCAAATTCTCCTCAACTGCCCCGACAATGACTCAAACCTTTCCCTATACTCCATGACAAATCCTTCCTGAGTCAAGGCAAGGAATTACTCGTGTAGAACTTATTTCCAAATGGCTTGGAAAAGTTCCAACAAGAAATCCTCAAACTCCTCCCATGTACAGATTGGATATCTTGCCTCCCTCTACTGGAACCAAGCGAGGGCTTTTCCCTCCAGACATAACACTGCAACTATGCTTCTCCTCCTCTCTCAACCCGTTCCACAAAATACCTCTCCATCCCGCAGATCCACCCATGGGCATCCTCCCCTTCAAATATCAGCATCTTCAACTTTCTCACCCTAGGATTGCCACCGCCTTAATAGCTTATTCCTCCTCTAGTGTAATAATTGTCGTGATCCCTCCATGTTTTCTCTGTGTATATAGGGTGAAAATCCCACCTTTTTTCCACACTCCTCTTGCTTGACCTGAACCCCATGGCTCAATTTGACCCCTTCATCTCGGGTCACCCACTCTCCTTGCCCGACATGCCTCGCATAATGGTTGGCCATCATAAGGATAATCATAATGAAAACACAATAGATGGAGAGGATTAAAGGCAGACTAGCGGACCGCAGAAGGCTTGCAAGCTAGTTGTGAGCTCGTTTTCAGTGGCAAGAGCCAAGACCAAGCTCGTCTTTTGAGCTTGACTCGAGTTCAAGCTCGGGATTTAGATCGCGAGTCGAGCTCGAGTTATAACTGACTCGAGCTTGACTTGGCTCGTTTGCACCCCTAGTTCCAACCACATTCTCTTCATAAACTTGCCCCTAAATTTGTAACATGCATCTTTATTGGTTATGCTTCTTCATATAGAGCTACAAGTGTTGCAACCTTGTTATGGGCAAAATTCTCTCCATGTCAAATTTGATGATGATTGTTTTTCCTCAATCTCTTTTCTTCCATGATCACCTACTTTTATGCTTCACACTCTATTCCGCCTCTCAGCATAGTCCCTTCCCTTCCTATTGCTCTGGGAAAGTAAACTACCTCTACCTCTACTCCACACTTTCTATGTGATCCTTAGCATATACTTCTACGATGCTTTCTTCTCCTACCTTTTCTTTATCTATCAATCAATCTCGGTTGGTCCATCATTAGAAAGACCAAGATTCGTCTCATAATCGCCATCCCATGCTAACCCAAGCTAAAATTGGAAGTCTCAAGCCCAAGCACATTTTTAAATTCACTCCCTTGTTCATGAACCATTGACTCCCACTTGTTATTGCACTGCCATTTTACATCTTGCTTAGCGTCAAGTTATGCTGCAAGAATTTCATGCAATTTAACCATAAGACATTTGGATTCTCATGCCTCCTGCTCAAAATCAAAATGGTATTGGTAGAAAATGGTTTTTTAAAACCAAATTAAAACTTGATCGCTCAGTTGTTGGGTAAAAAGTTTGGCTTGCCGTGCAAGGGTCCATAAAAAAATGATTTATAATACACTAAAACATTTAGTATAATAGCCAAGTTGTCGGCCATTAAAGTGCTTCTCATAATTGCACTTAAACATGATTAGACAGTTCTTCAATTGGATGCTTCGAACGTCTTTCTCTATAGTTAACTTGACAAAAAATTGTTCACATGAAACAACTAGCGGGCTTTTATGATCCTTAGTTTCTTGATTATGTTTACTTGCTGGAAAAGGCAATTTATGGTTTAAAATAGGCTTACCTCAATGGTTGCAGTGTTGTCCAGCCACCTTTAGCAGCAAGGATTTAAGTTCAGTTTGGCTAATCCATCATTACTATTATATCATCATTGTCAAATCGTGATTTATCTCTCCTTCACACTTTAGCCAATAACTTTGTTAACATACAAACACCAAAAATTTCAAACACAATTGATGTGGTCCATTCATTCTATTTAATTCCATTGCCACCTAACCATGCATAAGAAACTAAACAAGCTAACAATTTCCCAAAAACACAAATTTAAGTCTTGTATAATTCTTCACTTAAAGATTTTAATCCTAAAAGTTTTATTTATTCACCACCAAGTGCTTGCGCAATTAGCTATTTTTGTGTGAGTATTATCTATAACACAAATTACTTATGTACACTTTCGAAAAGATGATCATCTTGTCTTTCAAAACAAAATATATATTCTGAAATTAAGTATGGGTAACCTAAAATGAATTCAAGTGCCAAATAAAATACTCAGTTTTCATGTTTACAGAAATAATTTATGGCTTAGAACTAGTAAGTTCATTAAGTACCACACGGTTGTAATACACTTATCCAGAGTTATCCCACAAAAAAAAAAACTATACTAAATTGCTTTTGTGTTCAGAGATTACAATGAAATGACTAAATTAGCTACTTAGAGAAAAGAAGCTCGAGCCTAAGTAAGGCCTTATTTGGTTGCTTGAAATTAAAAAAGCTTTTAAAAAATGCTATATATATTTTTTACTTCCATCACTTGTTTCGTGTAGTTTGAAATCAACATTGGCACATTGGCGTTAAGCCTCACAAATCCTCTCAAAACTCCCATAAATGAAGGGATTTCAATGTCAAACAAAAAATGAGTGAAAATTAAATCATCATTTTTCAACATGTTTTCATCTGCAGGCAACCAAATGAGCACCAAGGAACATTTACATCTATCTCAAAAAGAACAAGTGTGTTAGAAATAGAACATGATGAACTTGTCACACAACTGATAATAAAAGTTAATAACAAAATAAGAAGGTTTTATACGAGCTTAACGCTCAAAAAGGTAAAATAGAACAAAAATAAACGCAGGAAAAAATAAAATAGAAAAAAGATAAACAAAATTTTTCTCTTGACAAACCGAATCTTTTTCAAATGCTTTTATCAAGTAAATTCATATACAAAATCTAGCTTATGAAGCTACTCACTGGTTAATGAAAGAACCAAAACCAATCTACAAGGATCCTTATACTGCACATAACCTCACTAAGAACATAGAGAAATAAAAGAATCGAGGTAAAATGAATAAGGATCAATTAAGATGCATTGCGACAACTTTCAACAAATAGGCTTGCGCCGTCACCTCCCACGTTTCGTAATATTGTAAACTTAAAATCAAATATGCAACAATTGAATCAATTCAAGTTTGGTTCTCCGAACTTCATCGTTACCTCTCATCCGCCAATGCATTGGAATCCCTTACACACGGACAGCCATATACCGAACAAAAGGCTGCATACCACCAGATCAATAATCAAAACCATTCGAACTTGCCGCCACCAAATCCTCTGCATGGATTTCCAACCTCCTAACCCCAATCCAAGATCAGCCTCACCATCATTATCCGTTACCGAGATTTCATGCTCGTCCCCACCCCGGGAATCGCCAACCCCTTCATCGATTCTCGGGTTCTTCTTGCGCTCCTTCTTAACCTTCCTCTTGTGCTCGCCAGTTAGGAGGATGCTATCAGAAGATTGCGGCGTGGAGGGAAGAGGAGGGGGCGAAAGTGCAGGCGGCGACGAGGGAGACGGTTTCTCCTCTTCGGAAGGAGAAACCGACCCTGCAACAAGGCGGCGGATCACAGGGAGCAGCTCATCCTGGAGACAGCGGTAGGCAAGGGGGTCGCCTGCACCGATCCGCCGGCGGGCAATATATACAGTGGCATCGTGGAGGCGATGCAGGAAGAGTATAACGGCAGAGCGGCCGAGGGACTCTTCCGCGATGGCGAAAAAGAGAAGAGGTTCAGCCATGAGGAAGGCGTAGATCCGACTGCCGGCTGTATGAGTGTAAAGGAGGTGGAAGTGCGGGGCAGCATCAAGGCAGATGGCGGCCAGCGCAGACAGGCCACCTGCGCCAGCGCCGCTACCTGCACATGAGTCTTCGCCGGCGGGGAGGAGGTCGGCGAGGACGTTGTTTCCACATGAGACGGAGGCGTAGAGTACGGGACCAGGATCGGATAAGGAGGTCATCCAATCGCGAAGGTCGAAGCAGATCAAGAGCGAGGGTTTCTCTCCGAAATCATTTCTTATTTTGGGAGAGTGGAGAAGGAATGACAGGTTGTATTTGTTATTTAAGCCAGGGTTTATTAGCTCAAACTTTTAATTATCTTTTTTAGAAAACATTTCAATTTAATGCAGTGTAAATATTTAATTCTTAGGCGTCTTAGTGGGAAAATAGGCTAATATAATGTTTTTTCCTTACACCCGTGGCATCCCACCGAGGAGAAATTATCGAACCTGTGGATGATATGTATTTTTTGGGTCAATTTATTTTGTGCTGCCATCAGAATTTTTTTAATAAGCGTGAGATAATATTTTTTTAAAAAGAGGAAGTAGATGCGTCGCGTTCAATTCTGAAATTGGACGGACAAAAATTTTAAGATTTTGCAGTCAAAAATGTTTTTTTTTCATCATCAAATAATGATTATTATCTTCACAAGCTCCTCTTTATCTTCAAGAAAATAAGCTATATCCTTCATGTTTACTATTTATGATTTATTATAAGCTTCAAATTAAGTTTATAGTTTTTATTTTATTTTATGTAAATTTAAATTTATGTATTGTTTCTATTTCTCAATTATTTCAATATCGTTGCTTTAAAGGCATAAATGACGAACCTACATTTAGTGTTTTGGATTTATCTGTAACTTGAGAAATTATTTTGTGCGGGATCCGAACGCAGAGTTTTCATACACCCAGTTCGACGATCTCCTGTATTAGAATTGACACTACATTTAATGTTTTAACTCCACACAGAATAGTTTCTTGTTTGTAATTTTGCTTGTATTGTTTATGTATAAGATAATGATGATATTTAAAATAACAAATGTTGAATTACATATAAATGACTAATTTATTGAGTTATTAATATGTTGTTTTATTTTATATTATATTGAATCAAATGTTAATAAATATGGTGTGCAAAAACAAGAATGAAAATAACAAAAGATTTAAAATTGAAAAATAGTGCAATGCATTTGATAATGAGAAGAATGAAAATATTAGTTATGATATTAAAAATAACATTGAATTTAAATATAAAGAATTACTTTGTTGAATTGTTAATATGTTGTTTTATTTTATATTATATTGAATAAAAATATGGCGAGGAAAAAATATTTTATAAATGTTAATAAATATGGTGAGAAAAACAAATATTTTACAAGCATGCGCATTTTATGCATAAGAGATATCTAGACCACTTGTACACAATGTGTACAAACTCTTCTACACACTTTGTACAAGCTTATAATTAGCTCAATAATATAATTTCTAATGATGAATGGATGATAGCAAGAAATATTAAAAAAAATAAAATTGAAAAATCGAGGAATGCTTTTAAGAATAAGAAGAATGAAAATATCAATGATGGAGTTCCCTATTGATGTATCATAAAAAAATTATCTTGATCGGGCAAGAATCTCGACGCAAAATCCAGCTGGAAACTTCAAAAATTAAACTTGAGATCACCTAAACTCCGATTTCGGCGAACTTACAGTCAAACCGAGTGTCTCGGAAATGCAAACTCAACAACACCAAATTTGACTCAATTCGAGACCAAATGAGTCCAAATCAAGCACCGAAGCGTTGTTGAAAAGTTCAAACCATCATTTGAGTTACCAAACAGTTTCCAAATATGATGTTCTTATTGTCAAATCGAGCGGCTCGACGAGACAAATCCAACGAGCCCAAGATCGCCGAATTCCAACATCATTAAGACCTTCAAATGTTTGACGAACGGTGCACGATCAAGGGATTCAATATTGGCCGTCCATTCAACCACTCCCTATTTACCCCTGATCTCTCACCTATTTACAAGACATGCCACTCCAAAATATCTATAAATAAACCCCTCATTTCTCATGAGAGGGGACCCAAGCAAGAAGAAGAGCATAAAAAGAGAATGATATGAGGGAAGAACTCTTCCTCGACCACCACCAGAGTTCTACCCGACGTCGGAATTTTGCCTAGCTTTCGAACGACGCTGGAGTTCTGTCTGACGCTCAAGTGACACTAGAGCTCTGCTCGATGCCGGAATTCTGCCCAACTTCTGAACGACGCCGGAATTCTGCCAGACCTCCGAAGGACGCCAAAATTCAACCCGATCTTCAAGTGAAGCTGGAACTGATCTGCTTGACGTTGTAACTGATTTTCAATCCTGAAGAGATTCATTGTAATATGATCATCCTAAATTTTAAGGACGAGTCAGCCTCTTGTATTTCAAGCAAACACTAGTGGAATTATTTCAATTGGGTGTAGCCCCATGGTTTTTTTCCTTTTCAGGATTTTCCACGTAAAAATCCTGGTGTTATTATTCCTCATATGTTTGTGTGCTAGATATTCGTACAACGCTGAGACGGAAGTTTTTTAACTCTATCGCCGCATATATTCTAGTCTGCAACACCTATATTTCAACAAAAATACACCCTTGATCTATATGATGCTGTCATGTTGGATGTGTTCAAACAAGCATTCATAATTGAAGGACATGAGCAGTCGAATTTGATATACATTTTTATGGAATATATTTCTATCGTATTATATAAATATGCTCATATGAGCGGCAAAGATATTTCATTCAATTACTCTTTTAAAAATAATTAGAAATTAAATTCCTTGCAGATATTTTTAATATTATGCATCAACTTATATAAAGTTTTTCTGTTGATTTTCATATAAAAACCCTCAACTGTTTTGATAAAAACTTAAACGAATGCAGATTTGCACCACCACCTGTAGCAGGAGTTCCTCAACCAATCTGTAGACCTCAGCATTGGGTTTCTTCGTTCAAGACGCAGTCGAATTTGCAACCTGAACACACTCAGTATCCAGTAAGAAACACTCATCCTTGCGCTTCATTCAGTTCCTCATTTTTATTTATATTTATAAACTAGTTAACACAAAGCATCAGACTTCTGATGATCCTAAGAGTAAATATTTTAGATTCGTCTTAGATTAAGAAAGATAGAGGTACACCTAAAAGAATTAGTTTGAAAGTATTAGAAATGACCATTATTTATTAGATTTAAATGAGACAATAGAGAAAAAAGATTCATGTTGCCAAATGTTGTAAATAATAGAAGAGCTATAAGACAATTGCAATTAAAAAACTTATCAAATAAATAGACCGAGGCGTGGGGAAGCACTGTTCAGGCTGCAAATTCGACTGCTCTAGATTTTTTAAATCATTTTTGAATTTTTCATTCTCATTCATTAGAAAATATTACTCCAACAATAGTCTCTCGAGCTATGGCTAAGGAATTGCTATTTCGAGTCAAAAACTACTATGATGATGGCTTTCATGGTAATTATCAACATCTACAACAAGATGAAATATTTCCATATCCAACTTATAACCTTTAGGAGCATTTAAGACCTTGTATTATCTTCTTAATGTCACAACTTAAGCATCTGATAGTATCAGATCTATTATTCCATGAAATGTAGGAGGATGAGACTTTAAGAATTGCCCTATGATTCAATCCATCTCCTTCACTAGCTTGTACAACCAGTGGAACAATAATTTGCGCATTAACTTGAACATCTATCTATAATGCACTAACACGGAAATATGGACATAGATTTGATATGATATGGACATGAGACGCATTAATTATTGAAAATATATGACACAAAACGTTCTCGAAATGCGATTGTAATTTATGTATCTAAAAATCAAAGTATTTGCATAAATTAAATAAACATAAAATGAGAACTAATGAAAGGCATATGATGCTTAACAAAAAAAAAAAGTATATATCATTTAATGATCAGTCCTCCAACCCAACACCATGAATTTCATAATATTTTGATTGAATTTAAAAATGTCACCCATTTAAATATTAGAAGAAAAAATAAATTTCATACTTGGTCTAACGTGTTGTGTTCGCCCAGCCCAAGCCCTAATGCCCTATGCAAAGTAAAGCATTCACGGGTTGAGTCGGGTCAACCCGGCAACCCGCACAGAAGGGATCCGGGTTGGAAGTCCTGACCTTTTTAGTTAAACATGTCGGATTCATGTCAACCCATTTATGATCAGGTCAACTCGGATTGAACCCGAACCCAATCCATTGATCCGAATTGGCACCCTTACTATGCTCTATCAAGTCACTTGTGCTATATGTGTATCTAATATTGGTTAATTCATAGGACTTTCTGGGATGGTAGGTGCACCAGTGAAAGGCTTGAGCAATTTGAGCATCAAGAAAGCTTTCAAGATTTGTTTGATATTTTATGCTATAGTCTCGAAGAGGGCATCAACATCATAAGTTGGAACTCTGGTAATTCAACTTTTTGAGTGGTAACACTATGACGACTAGCATAATGATATACTCTAGGGACAAGTAAGGTTCCCTTAATGGCTCTCTAGCAACTACTACCATTAGCGACAACAAAGACTCATCAAATAACCTAAAATTAGTCCACACAATTAAATTAACAAGTTACATGGCTGCCATAACCATAATGGTCACAATTTTAAGATCATCCCAAGGGCATCACAACAACTAAGTAAACATGAAGGAAGACTTAAGATTCGTTTGGGATAGCTTTCTTACTGCTTCTTATAGCGGCTTCATAGTACAAAAATTAAATTTTTTTTACTAGAAAGCCGCTTTAAGAAACAGTAAGAAAGCCGTCCCAAACGAAGTCTTAATTTCGGTGATATTCTAACCTTGAGATTTATGCCATTGAACATAATGAAGGAGCAATGAAACAAGAACAAAATTGACAATAATGGGAGAATGGAGGCATAAGAAGGAAGAAGAGAATGAGATAGACAGTACTGCGATAGATGGGGACAAAAGGACAAACTCGAACAGGCACATGATTCGTGGTGGTGAAGGAGTATGTCGTGACCGGAGCTTTTCTACTGTGATTGAGGAAGAGGACCTATGCTTGTTGTCTCATGACGTGCAGGAAAGGTATGTAGCTAAATCCTAACCTCGATCATCTATTTATCTTCACTTGAGGCAGCAAGACAAGGAAAAGCAGAAGATTGAATGAGTTTTGGTTTCTTTACAATGAGTTTGTCCTTTGCTGCTTCTTACTTGGTGAGGTTGCAGAAGATTGAACATGTTACCCATTCTAATATAGCCTATGTCACAAATCATAAATGGACTGGAAAGACTCATGCTTTTTTTTTTAATATTCTGGGAATGATGAGCAATTTTAAGTTAAATGTTGCAGAGATGAATGGCTTTACCCTTAGACATAGGATACGAAATGAGCACATAAGTGAAAATGTTGAAGTAGCTTCAATAGAAGATAAGATTAGAGAGAGTCACCATAGATGGTTTGGCCACATTAAACGGATGCCTTCCAACAACCCGGTTAGGAAAGTTGAGGTATTAGATTTGACTTATGTTAAGAAGATAGAGGTAGACCTAAAAAGATTTGATTAAAAAATATTAGAAATGATAGTTCTTTATTAGATTTAAATGAGAATTTGACTTTTAACACGATACATCGACGAAAAAGGATTCATGTAGCCGACCCCACGTAGTGGGACAAAGGCTTGATGTTGTTGTTGTTG